GTTATGTCAGGTTTTATGGACTCCACTTGTGGTAATTTTTCTTTGGAATTCGGTATTTTTGTTAATTCTTTTTTTCGTATATGTGTAATAATAAAAACGACCTAAATTAAAGATTATTCCAAAATATTAGAATCTTAAAACAGATAAGAATGTCACAAAAATACAAATGTATTCCCATTTTAGATTTGAATGATAATGATGATGATGATGATGATGAAGATGATCATGATCATGATGATGATGATGATGATACTATAAAAAAAAAATTCAAGCTTATAGTAAAGTTCGTACAAACAAATCAAAATGTGATGAGAAAATCAGTTCAAGATTATTTCCTTTAGTTTATGATAAAACTGGGTTTCATCTCTCTCATCGAATCAGTTACAAGAATACGTAGCCGGTGCATCCAAAATCTGTCTCTCTCTTTGTTTTCTACCTTGTGTGTTCCAATTTTGTTTAGCCTCTATTATTTGAAAGGTGATATTTTGAAAAGAATGCTTTGTTCTTTAATAAGAGGTGTTTCGCGATTAGCCAGTTTCTTCCTTTGGTATAAAATGACCGATAATCAAATAATATGAATGCCAAATGTCTCCTACAATATCGATCTAACTAAGTTAATTTTAGTGTCATTCATTTAAGTTCATCTATCTTAAAGGTCAAAATGCGATTTTGTCATCGCAAATCGTCGTCGGTCCTAACATTTTCATCTAATGATCTTATCGAAAAATGCTATACCAATTCAAACCAGACTTCCCATAGCTGATCATTAGGAAATCTAGATAAAAGTCTATAAGTCATACTAAGTTTTATCTACCAAAATAGTAGAGTTTGTGTTGCTTATAACTTTTGCTCATTAATCTCTATTCTGTAAATATCATCCACATACTCAAACAAGATCTACAAAAATGCCAATATTACTTAATGATAACTTGACCCGTATAAGAGTTGTTGCTCTTAAAGAACGATGTTTAGCATTTTTGCCTATTACTTATAAAACTATTAAAAAATAGACAAAAGCTTCAAACACCAAAACAGATCGGCAATACAAAGACAACAAAATGTCATACAAGTGGGAGGTTTCGCTAGCTATCAAACCAGGTTTAACAAACCGTCTTCGTCGGAAAGTGCCTATACCAAGTCAGGAATATGATAGTTGTTTTCCATTCATTAGTCTACATTTGATTTTGTCAGTTTTTATGGACTTCCTATTTTTTGAATTTACCTTGGAGTTTTGGCAGCAACGTCCTTATGCCAGCAATATGTTGCCACAATATACTGACGCGAGTGAAATGATTTTTTAGGTGAGATTTTTCTTCAATCTTATGAAAAAGCTTCTTGTAAATGACAATTTTGAACAATGAACAACTTTATGGCGTCAACTGTAACATTTCTGCAACAAATAGGTCATATTTAGAATTTGGCATACCGTATAGACAGATAACACTATAGATGAAGATTACACGTTTATCTCAAGATGTCACCACATTTCTTATCATTCATATAGGTTATATTTTTAGATTTATTTATCAATGAAATAACCAGAATGTTAAAAGGATTGAATATTGAATATTTTTTAATTTCATGGGTTTTCATCAGACATCCTCCTTTACCACAGTTGAAATTTTAATCTTTTGATATTTAATTCTTCCATCCAACACGTTGTAAAAATGGACTATCGTAGGTCAGGAATTGCAATGTTTTATTTTAAATTCAAATATTGCATGTAACTGCTGTTGTTCTTTCGATACATACATAGTATTGTTATATTGTTAAATAGATTGGACAATAAGTTGAAGAGAAACTCACAAAGTAATGGTAAAAACGAAAGACGACGAAAAAACAAACAACCCTACAAAACACTACACAGATATCTAAAGAAATGAGCAACTCATTCAGTATTGTTACAATTGAGAAACAGGAGACGGGATTGTGGTTACGACAATTGGAACAAATCCATTGTCATCTGTGAAACTGATAGTCCATAACGGTCAACCAACTCGTGATGGCGTCTGTAAGACTTTCGAAGGGATGACTTTAACTTTAACAATTGGAATCGTTGGTTCAAAAAAAAAGTAAGGATCAACCATCTATCAAGGAAATCATGATAGGAAACTCAGGTCATGAATACCGTATCAACTGTGATATATAAACTCTATATGCGGCCGCTGCTGATCCTGAAAACACTACATTTTACTGTCTGTTCTGGTAATATAGCATCAGCCAATTAAATTCCTGCCTCCAAATGTTGATAGTGTATGTCAAAACGACAAAACCAAGGAAACCCCGAAAGGTCTTTAAAACAGAAAGTAAAACGAAGCGTTGTCAGATAGTTGTAAGTGAACGACAAAACCAAGAGGACCCCGAAAGGTCTTTAAAACAGAAAGTAAAACGAAGCGTTGTCAGAAAGTTGTAAGCGAAGCTTCCACACATGATCTGTATTTCAATCAGATTGATTCTATGTATATTTCAGCAGATGAAAACCAGGTATAGCAACCTATTTGGTCCGAAATAAAATAAGAATTAATATGATACAATGTATTGGATTAATTTCAGAAGGTATCGTCCTGACTACCGTGAGCATTTGATATTTAAAACTTGACGTAAAGAATACACCAGTCAATTGATTTATAATAGAATCTTCCCCGCAATAAAGCTAGCTATAAAAACCAGGTGTAACCCACCATTTTATTTCGGAAAATTACTGTACCAAGTCAGGAATATGACAATTGCTTTTCACTCGTTCCGTTGGTTGGTAACGTTTGGTTTTGTCAGTTTTTATGGACTTCCACTTTTTTAATTTACCTTTGAGTTCGGTATTTTTGTTATACTTTTTTTCCAAAACTAACCGCAAAACTGACTGGAATTTTTCATGTGCGCTGTTTTCTGTGCGTTGTTTGCATTCAATGTTACCCCCAGTTTTTGGTGGGGTTTGTGTTTCTATAAGTCTTCGGTTTTTTGGTGTATTGTTTTGCGGACTTTTAATGTCCCTTTGGTATCTTCTGCCTCTTTTTTTATACACCATCCCATCGTCAAAGCACATGCAATGCAACACGTCTTCCATTGTGTCTTGTTCACGGAATATTGTATGCTTAAAGTCCCAGCGTATGTAGTTCAGGGGAAAATGTAATAAAAAGGAGCATTTATGTCAGTCAGACGTGTATGTCCATTTTAGTGTTAGACCATTGCTATACATCCTATTTTTGTGACAATTCATCCTGTTAGATATTTGCGAAAGAAATTAATCCATCCATATTTTAAAAACTATCCTTCCAGTCCTGGATTGAGGGGGTGATTGGGAGCAGGTCCGCATTGTTAAGTTATTCGTTCACTATGATTGATACATTGTTGGAAACTAGTTCAAAAGAAAACGGTCGGCAGGGTAAAACAAATGATATGCTATGCATTTAACACGACATACACACTACGTACTTCCGTGCATTCGTTATGTTGATAGTCTTTATTCAAAAATGGAGGCTATGATATTAAATTAAACATTAGTACCATTTCTTAAATTGTGAAAACTCGGAAAGTGCTATTTAAAAACAAGGGTATAATAATAAGTAGATATAAGAAGATGTGGTATGAGTGCCAATGAGACAACTCTCCATCCAAGTCAAAATTTATAAAAGTAAACCATTATAGGTCAAAGTACGGTCTTCAACACGGAGCCTTGGCTCACACCGAACAGCAAGCTATAAAGGGCCCCAAAAATTACTAGTGTGAAATCATTCAAACGGGAAAACCAACGGTCTAATCTATATAAAAAAACGAGAGACGAGAAACACTTATGAACCACATCAACAAACGACAACTACTGAACATCAGATACCTGACTTAGGACAGGTGCAAACAATTGTGCCTTTCTTTGTTAGTGTGAATAGAGTTATTAGACAATCATAATTTATTTTTTTCTCTACCCCTAGAGACCATGCTCCAAGGGATCATAAGAAAAATATCGACATCATTATGTGTATTCACATGTATAATATTGGCTATGATTTAAGTTTCTACTTCCTATCCAAAACAAAAATTTCGGAATTTTGATATTTTCCTTGGGGCAAATTCATGGTCGAAGACGACGACCGATGAACTGCAAAGCATTTTTGATTATCTCCCACTTCATTGAACGTGAAAAAGTGAAAACTGATTTAGTAGTATAATGTTATCATTTTCCTTTAAAAAAAATAATAATAAAAGAAGAAGAAGCAAGAATTGAGTATTACAGACTAAAGGAGTGTTCTGTAAAATTTGTTAAAATGTAGAACAGGAACACACTATACGAAGTTAAAGAAAATAGTATCTCGATAAACAGAATGATAGGCATCAAAGATTAACACTTCTTAATTTAAGTCTTTCAAGCTACTTAAAACGGATTTATTCTGACATAAACATTTCATTCCAATAGACCAAGAAGACTGCAAATGCATGTGCAACAGTACAACAATCGAGACCACATAATCTGTAATATCTTATAGAACTTTCTTAAATAGCAAAATCTAATAATGAGTAATATGTTTTATGAAAATATTTCACTTTCCTATTTGTTCTTGGAAAACCATATATTTTAAATCGGTGGCTGGTGGTTTAAAGTCCAGTCAATTTGAACAGAAAAGGTCTAACACGTCGCTAAAATTGCAACAGAAACTAATTGAGTGTTTTTGTGTCCAGGATGTTATCATATTTGATATAATTACAACAAACTAAGTTACAAATGGTGGAAATTGAGTTTGGGTTAAAATCATCGTTTTCAGTTAAATTAAAATAAATGAAAAAAGGAAAATTTTTAACTTATTATTGGAGCATCCCCTTTAATACAATTTAACTCTATTTGAAACATCTCAAACATGATTGTGTAAGGAAACAAAATTTTAAACCAGATATCAGTATGATAATGAATATTTTATCATAAAATCTCCGACTAAAAGGAAACCGGATTCTCCGAAAAAATGAAACCGGAAAAGTTGTCAAATGTAACTCTATTTTCAACATAACATATCTTATCATATGAGACATGCCCGAGAAGACAAGGAGATTATTTAAGTGTTCAAAATGTGGTAATTTTCATTTTTCTTTAATTATATCGTTTTCCTTTTTTTTTTCTTTTTTTTTTTTTGCCTAGTTTGCGACCACTGTTGAAAGAATTATGAGAAAATGACATAATTAAACAGCTTCGAGTATGTTAGCATAAACTACATCTGTATTGCTTATTTGTGTGGTTATTGATAGCTTCTAATTAATTGAGGTTATTATATTTTTCTTTTCAGGAAGAGGAAAATTTTCAAATGCAAAAAGATAAGGACTGGAAATGATTACGCTCTCAGACAGACTTACCTACAAAGACCGCCGTCTGAACAAACAGTGAAACATTTAACCAAGCAACGACAAAACTCATCAGAAAAACCTGATGTTATGAAGATAGCTGAAGATGATGAAATTACAGAAGATCCAGAAATTGACGAATCTAACAAAATAGAAAGTATTAAGGAAAATCATGATGATCTTGACGGTAAAAAAAAAATAAAGACAAAACCTGTTGCATGCATTGAATGTGTAAAACCCATACAGGTTTTCAAAAGAGAAGAAATAAATAGAGGGGATCATATCAAATTCCATGGGCGAATATATGATCACCATGCAATTGTAGTCGATGTAAAACATTCAGAAGAGAAAGATCATAAAGTAGTCGTGAACTTGGTGCATGCATCAAACACGGCATCTGGTGTAGTATATGCTTGCATACGGCCATGTGCTAGCAAAGCAAAACTATTAAACGAAACGAAACAAATAAATTTGAAAAAGATTAAAGTGATGGTTTATAAATATTCGGATACAATTAAACATTCTTTGCCCGAAGAGATCGTCAATAGAGCGGTGACAGCGAAATCAAATCCTGATTTCCATTACAACTTACTAAATAATAACTGCGAGCATTTTACAACATGGTGCGTTACAGGAGAGAGACTTAGCTTGCAAGTTAGAAAAATAAGAATGGTAGTGCGACTTTTTTTGAAACGAGGATTTAAAGGTATCGGCGACGAAGAACTTCGAAATAGAATTGAATGTGAAAATGGAATGCTCTGTAAACCGTGTTTCGAGAGAAATCGAAAATTATTAAGTGTTGCAAATCAACCAATCAAATCAAAAGATGACGTGAAGATCGGTGATATTATAAAATACAAATATTACAGATGTTGGCATGCTGCTGTCGTGCTAGAAATTGAATCACACGACAGGTCACTGGAGTGTAAAATAGCTCATTATGCATTTCGTGGTTTACATAGACATAGAAAAATTCGGGAGGAAACATTAAGAATTCCGTTCGATGGAAGTGTAAAAGTAACTGATTTCTCCAAGACTGACTATGCTGTCTACGCTCCAGATGAAGTGGTGGAAAGGGCCCGAAGTAGGTTTGGCGAAAAACGTTATGAATTTTTTTCAAATGATTCAAGTCATTTTGCTCGTTGGTGTAAACTTCAATTGTACAGATATCGAAATTGACCGCTACTAAAACCTATATTGTTACATGCAATATTTAGGAAACGTATGCCTAAAATATGTCTTTTAGAAATTTTTGTATGTAATTAGTTGCATATCTGATAGTTACATAGTAAAAATGGTAAAATAGGTCAATCTCAAAAACATATTAAGCATTGATGAAGGATCTTGGAGTTTACTTTCAATCCCAGATTTTTATCCGATAAAACAAATCAATGGGTTTAGTTAGGAATCAATGAACTTTTTTTTTCCTGAATCTTGGAATTTCGACTTCTTCTTGTCCTTCATCAGAGTCGAGATCCCATATGTTCTCATGAGTGTTAATTTTATTGTTGTCCTTGTTTGAAAAGTGTTCCTTGCTTCGGTGAGATTTTGCTAATTCGTCAAAGTCAACTTCCAATAGTAAAGTATCTATTTTGCTCGAATGAAGACCTTTTGACAATGAAGTGGGATAATACTGAACAAGAACTCAATGTGTTTATTCAACATGCCAACGATGCTCATCCCTCAATAAAATTCACTTTTTAAATCGTTGGCTCTAAGATAACATTTTTTGACACAGCCCCGAAAGAGAGGGATGGAACCATATTTACTGATCTGTATTGCAAGCCCACAGACAAACATCAATATCAATCTTCTCCTTTGAGTTGTCATCCTAAACATTGCAATAAGAGCATTCCCTACAGCCAGACAATCCGAATAAAACCACCATTGATACCATAAAAAGGCGACTACAGAAACTTCGCCGACACCTAACATATTGGGCTACAGAAGAAAAGACATTGATAGAGGTTTCACTCGTGCTAACAACATCAGCCGAGGTGAACTTTTATAATATAAAGAAGAAAAGGTCAACAAAAGAGTGCCGTTTGTGCTGACTTACTATCCCAAATTTGACAAGTTATCACACCTTTTCGCGAAAATTGGAAAGAAATCGAAAAACGTCCTACACTGTCTTCCCCAAGCCACCCGTACTGGCTTTCCGTAGGCACAAAAGCCTCAAACACTTTGTCCTCTAAATCAGGCTCTTCGTCAGTGGGATCTTGCCAGGGGTGTGGAAACAAACGATGTCTGATTTGCAATTAAATACTAGTACTGAATACCCATATTTTAACAGTAACTCCACTGGTACGGAATACACCATATTTTGCAACGTAAATTACAAGACTGCAAATGATGTGTATCTTATACTGTGTAAATGTGGTAAACAGTATGTTGGTGAGTCAGAACAGCCATTTCACAAACGTATGTACAGCCATCGTAGTGACTATGAATGCAAGCCAGACCTTTCTCTAAGTCGACATTTGAGATTCCCTCAATCGACTGACTATAACCATCATATACCACAACACTACTTGGTCAGGGGGGACAGACTTACTCGGAAAAGATTTTGGATAAGAAAATTAAAAACGTTGGCACCAAATGGGATCAATGAAAAGATGTAGTTCTAATCGCGCAGTGCTTTTTGTTTAGGTTGTATTATTACGCAGTCTCTGTTGTAATTCCTTTACCTTCGTCAACTGAATTTCTAGCAGTATACCAGTTTAAATCGCACGGTGCTCTTCGTCTGAGATGTATAAATGCGGAGCCATGGTGTAATTACTTAACCTTCTTAAAATTTCAAATATGAAACTTAAAAATTATACCCGTTCAGATCGAAAATTGCTATTCATTTGAGATGTATAAATACGCAGCTTCTGTTGAAATTACTTAACCTCTGTCAACATATCAAAATAAGTAAGACATAACGTGACTTCGATGACGTAGCAATCCGCCATCTTTAGTAAATTTGACTCAGAAATTGCATAGGCCCTTCAATAAACTATATTTTTACCGTTAATCCGACCTGTTTTCTAACTTCGGCTGCTCTTCCCTTTATCTTCGAACATAAATATTTCTTTAAATGTTGACCCTGACAGTTTGAATTTAGATGAAATTACGTCCCTGATCAATTGTAAATATTGCTATTTTTCTCCTCCTCTGCCCGTTGACTGTATTGTCTTCTTCTTCTTCTTCTTCCGGTAAGCGGCCACCGTCAACTGGTTGACTATTCTGCCACATTTTGGAGTGAGCGCATGAAATATTTTTGAAATTTATTAAACAAAAAGAGAATGGGTGCAATTTAATATATATACAGGTGCAATTAAAAACATGGCATTTAATCTAATGACGGAGCTGAGCCTTGAAGGATTCAGGACTCAGGGCGGAGACAGTAGAGTTGGGCAAGGTGTTCCACTCTCTGATTGTTCTGGGATAGAACGACTCCTTCCGTACAGTTGTTTTACATGATGGTATTCTAAGTGCCTTTTCGTTATTATTTCTGGAAGGGCGTTCATTCGGTATTAGCTTACTGGATGTATCGATTTTGACAAAGTTGTTTTGTAGCTTATACATCATTATTAAGCGGCTATGTTTCCTTCGTTCTTGTAGGGTAGACCATTCAAGATGTTCAAGCATGCTACTAACAGATGAGGTGTTGTGATATCTGTTAGTAACATACCTTGCTGCCCGTCTTTGCACCATGTCCAATCTGTGGATGTCGTTTTGTTGGTATGGATCCCATACTGCACTAGCATATTCTAAAGTAGGCCTGACGAGGGACATGTATGCTTTTTCTTTAATTGACTTGTTTGAGATGTTAACATTCCTTTTTAAGAAGCTAATGGTGTTGTTGGCTTTGGAGCAGATGGAGCTTATGTGTTTCCCCCATTTAAGATCTGATGAAATAGTGCATCCCAGGTATTTAGCTGATGTTACATGTTCGAGGTTATGGCCATGTAGTGTGTAATTGTACTTTGATGGAGTTCGCTTCTTGGAGATGGTGAGTACATTACATTTGTCTGGATGGAACTTCATAAGCCATGTTGTTTCCCATACAGCCAGTTGGTCAAGGTCCTTTTGTAAGTTTGCGGCATCTGCATTGGATGAGATGGTGAGATAAGCAATAGTGTCATCAGCAAACAGTCGTACAGTTGATTGAATCCCCTGGGGCATATCGTTTATATAAAACAAAAATAGGCTAGGTCCCAGGACGGATCCTTGTGGTACGCCGGACTCTACAGGTATGGAGGTCGATGTTTCACCCTCTACAACTACTGACTGTATTCTATCACTGAGGAAGTTGTTTATCCACTCATTTGTTTTACCGGTTATCCCATAATGCTTCAGTTTGTGGATGAGAAGGCTATGACTAACCTTATCAAATGCCTTGGAGAAGTCCATTATGAGACAATCTGTTTGTTTCCCCTGATCTAAGTTTTTAGTTACATCATCAATAAATTCAATCAGTTGTGATTCGCATGATAATCCCCTTTGAAACCCATGTTGAAGTGGATACATGATGTTGTGAGTATCTGCATGAGACATGATATGGCTAGTTATGATGTGCTCCATTAGTTTACATGCTATGCAAGTGAGAGAGACTGGCCTATAATTTATCGGATCGTATTTCTTCCCTTTCTTATACACTGGACAGACGTTTGCAGATTTCCAAATACAAGGTACTTCGCTTGTCTGATATGAGCAGCGGAATAATGTTGTCAGTATTGGTGCTATATGTAATGCAAGTTCCTTTAAGACTCTTGGTGTTATATTGTCTGGCCCAGCTGCCTTATTTGGATTAAGGTTATTTAGTAGTTTGTACACACCATTTTCTGTTATATTGATGTCCAAGATTTGTTCAAAGTTTCCGGACATGTTACACTGTTCTTGAAATTCATTTTCTGTTATGGTGGTTTTGTCTGAAAAGGCTTTCTGAAATTGGCCATTGAGTATGTCTGCTTTTTCTGTTGGCTCTGAATGTAAAGTTCCATTTGATTTTAGAGGTGGTATTTTACTCCCATCTGACCTTTTGTGTTTTATAAAGGTCCAGAACCTTTTCATACAGTTTGGTCTTTCTTGAGGTTTAATTAGGTCTGGTGGTGAAACTATACTGTCGATGTAATTCCAGTAAGCTTTCCTAATTTCTCTCTGTGTACGACGCTTAAGTTCTTTAAATTTGTCTCTATCTCCTCCATTACCCGATTTTTTCATTCTTTTGAACCATCTGTCTCTTTTTCGTATGAGACGCTTGATGTCAGATGTGATCCAGGGACTACCATCCTTTTTCCTAGCGGTCTTTTTCGGTACATTTTTTTCTATGCTCTTTTCAAGTTTGGTTTGGAAGTGTGTCCATAATGTATTTACTCCTGCCTTTTGTTCATTCATTAGGGTGATATCATGGTGTAAATTATTCATATCTATTTTCATATTCTCCCAATTAGCTTTTCTATATAACGGTATAATCCTTGGTTTTTGAATAGATTTCCGGGGGTTTAGATTAACTTCTGTGAAAACGATTTCATGGTCGGAGAGCCCAGGTAAGGTTTCAACTCTCATGAAGCTTTCAGGATGATTTGTTACAACAAGATCAAGAGTATTGGGTCCTCTGGTTGGTTTATTTACAAGCTGTGCCATCCCATTATCATCCAATATATCAGCAAATTTTTCATGATTTGTTGCACATTGGGTGTGCATCTTGATCTCTTTGTTAGTCCAATCCCAGCCTGGTAGGTTGAAATCACCAGCTGATATAATGAATGCATTTCGTATTTTACTGGCTCTTTCAATGCTTATTCCATATTCATTATATCCCTTTTCGTTTGATGTTTTGAGGTTGTAGTAACTAGATAGATAGACAGTTTTATGCCCGACAATTTCCATCTTGCACCAAGCAATTTCACAATCAGTTTGAAGTTCTGGTACTGATGAAGTGATGTATGTGTCTTTGACGGCAATAAGTACTCCCCCTCCACTTAAGTTTCTGTCATTTCTGTAAATATTGTACCCATCTGGAAAATATTGCGAGTCTTTTATTGATGAATCAAGCCAGGTTTCAGTTCCCAAAATTATATCTGGTTTTGTGCTTTCAATAAGATTTATAAGTTCACCTTGTTTGTTTCTTATTGACTGGAAGTTGACATTTAATACTCGAATAGTCTTAGGATTTGAATCTTCTTGCTCCTTTTTCTTTTGTGTTTTCCGTTCTGGTGTTGAAGTATGTAATGGTTTTATGATGCTAGATGTTGGACTGCTGATGGATATATTTGATAGTATGCTGAAATGATTTGAAGTACTGAATACCAAAGAATAGCAGAAGGTGGAGTAATTTGGACAATTACACATAATGCAATCCCATGCAATGGCGGAGTCATTCACATGTTCTAGGTAGGACTTAGTTTGCATAGCCTGGCAACTGATGTGGTACCATTGGTTGCATGTATCGCATACTATACCTCGTTCTTGCCATGTCACTGGTTGGTCGCATGTGCCACATGGATATACAGTTCCACTGGTGTTTGAACATTCAGGTCCAGGGTTAAGATTTACATCGTTTGATATAAGAATTAGTATCATTGAAAGATAGGTGAGATGGTTTATCATTTTACGATATATTAATCTTCTCTCATTCATACTACGTATTTCAGTTCTAATGTTGTCAATGATGGTAAAATGGTTTATATACTCTGGGTTGTAGTTGTTAATAATGGTAAACATATGCTCCCCTTGTTTTGATTTTGTCAAAATATTTTGTTGGTCTGTTATTTTGGCTAGACATAGTTGGAATCCAAATGACAATAAAAATAGAAATATAATCAGTTGTGACATCTTTGGGCTGTGTAAGAAGGTGGTGATAAGATGAACTCACCTACACACCTTTCTTAACTTCCACTTGACTGTCGAGCTGTCAGATTTCTATTTCGTATTTGCCGCCATTTTGTTCTTTGTTTACATTGGTAACCGCTTTCTAACTCAGGATTTCGTTGTTGATTGATGTTGGTTGGTCCTAACTTTTATGTTGCAATGAATGTAATAGATAATGGAACACCTTTACCCAACTTACATTGATTTAAATAAATTTTACAAAGGATACAAATAACTTTAGTAAAACTATCAAACCTTCGTCACTTTTTATACATCATTTTTTACAAATTTTTTAAACAAAAGTTTTACTTTGCTGCTGTATTGTAGTATCTGATATATACGTCTATCGCTGCATCCTATTTTAAAGTTTAATTCGTTGGCAAATAACGTCCCTAATCGATTTAAACCATGAACTTTTCGACAATGTCTGGGTTTTTTAAAATGGCGGCGTGTCATTTAATGTGTTTATACTTCAAATAAATTTGCTTTTCTCATTATTTATTCGGCAAATGTCTGATAGTTGCATGGTTTGACCATGATTATTTTTATAGTAGCTTTTTTCGATGCGAACAAATAATTTTGTTACAATCTATAAATATAACATCTTCATTAAAATACAGAAAGGCACAGACATTTTTATGTACATGTGTATTTATGTCTCTGAGAAAGGTAAAACACCAGGTAAGCCTGACAAGTTACTGACAGGTAGATACAAGTCTACATTACACAATTGCTCCGGTATTACACAGGAAACGTATGCCAAACCAAATTACCAATACTTGTTATAATCATCCCGTGTACAAAGTTATTTCCAGGGTTTTAAAGTAATATAAGACATGTTTTGCCCCAGAAAATTCTTCCAAATATCAATAACATAATAATGGGGAAAAAAATATGTTTTCCGCTTCTTAATGTTATAACATAGTTATTTTTTATGAATTATATATCAACTGTAAAGTACATCGATTTTTTTATTTTTTCTTTGTAAAATTTGTCATTTGATAAAAAAGATTAAGCCTAAATTCAATGCAAATGATTTTGAACAGTTTAATACTTTTTTTGGTAATTTTATTTGAGAAAATGTTTAGCGAAATTTGACCTAGTGTAGAGATAAAGTGCACACAATTAAATCAAAAGAACTTGTCGACCCTTTACCGGCCTATCTGTAGCGATAGAGTTATCGAACCTTATTGTGACTTGTATAACTGCGTATGATTTGAAATTTTAGTATTATAGCAGCTCAGATCGGTCAGTGCTATTAATTGGGAATGCATTTCTACGCAGTCTCTGTTGTCATAACTTAACTTTCGTC